ATTTTCGCAGACCTCTTTTTTGCTTCGAAATAAACACAGACATGTTTACATGCTGTTTTAAGGATCGCTTTGCTCGTGCTTTTCAAATTGCAAACGTCCGTTCTAGATTGGTTGGTGCTATTCGTCACTTGTAGAGATGAAAACGAAGTAACCTGTGCAGCACATACCTTCACATTCTTCTTGTTGCATACATCTGAGCTTTTAGCTAGAGGTTAAAAATTCCGTTAAGATCCATCATCAGCTTTTCATACATTAATCCTCCGATTTTATGTTGTTCTTGCAGCTTCGGCTTGTTGAAGCTCTTTCATGTCAGCGGAACTCTCAGAAGATTATACGTCATGCAGAGCTACTTGTGATTGTTTGCTTTGTAATGATGCCGTGCTCGTGAGATGCCGATATGATGCGAGCGGGATAACATTCAGTTGAAGTGCGAGTTTTCAACTGGATCAAGGAATGCATTTGCACGCACGTCCGTTGTCGTAAAAAGTTTTACAGACGTTTTGCATGTTTGCATCGGTAAACTACTTCCATTTATCCACTTTATTCAGATGACTTTGTCTAAGGTATATACATTTCATACAAATTTGCTACTTTGGTAATGCTGGTTTAGCGGCCCATTTCACTCTGACTCGTCCTTTGCAGAGCTCCATGCGATATTTTCGCGAAGTGGCGTGCTAATTTTCTCTTTCTCTTTATTCTCATCACATCTTTTATCATGCCTTACCATTCTTAAGTATGTTTGCAGCACAGGTCATGGTGATATTCTATATTTTTTTGTGAAACATGTGGGAAACATGTTCGAGGAATAGCCCCAAGTACTTCTGAGCTATGCCTTAACACTTTATTTGAAATCTTACTTTGAATTTTTTGCAAGTCATTCAATATGGAAATTCCTAAGCATTTATCTTGTAGTCAAACTACCATTCAAGATGAGTATTGGATGAAATTGCTGCAGACGAGCAGAACTTTTTGTGCAAGCGAGGACGATGCAGTACAGTACAGTATCCTAATCTTGCCATAGCTCTTCCAACTCTTGTTCTTTAATTTCAGATCAATTTCAACATTCATTTCAATTCTAGTTTTTTCTAGATAAACCTAAAGAGTTTAGAACAGCGGTGAAGGGGCTTAATTGGGGAATGCATGTAAGAGAAAGAAATCAAGTAGCAGTATTTGATTGTAACACCGTGTATGCTATGTGTCGACTTTTCAGCTAAGCAGTACTCTTGTGATAAGTGTAAGCGCAAAAGTTATATATGTCTTGCTTTTTGAAGGGGCTAGCACATACATTGGTGCACAGTTAAACGTAACTATTTCCTGTCTCTACATTTATAATTATTGAAGTTATATTCCTGGTTGATTTTTCGCTATATTTCTTGAGATGTCTCCTTCCAGTACTTCCTTTTTTTCAGTTTTATGTATACATGTCTCTATATATAGCTGGTAATATTATCTAGTCTATGTTCCCTTGAAGTTCTAATTCCTAAGATTTATGATACAACCAAGTTATGTTTATTTCGAATAAGACTATTGACATTTAAACATTCTTGTTACCTTTGAATTTTGAGATATTTGTACATTTTGTACGCTCCTTGCTTTTCCACTAGGTACTGCTAAAGCTTTTCGTGCTTATACTAAGATTAGCGTGAACATAGCATAATGGCATTTAAACAGTTGCAAATTGGTTATTGTTTTACTTAAGTCGCATTAGTGTTCGCAGCACAGCAACGTTTTTTTCCTTTGATTACCAGAAACCACCGTCGTTTCGAGGTCATAAAAAATCTCTTGAAACACTTTTCACCTGTAGGATACCGGCTTTGAGTAGAGCAGACTCACTGGTGCAGATTATAAATGGAAGGAAATTGGTCAGGTAATCGCGAATATTGAAGAATTGAATCTGGTCAAGTTCAGGTTATTTCTTAAAATGAATCTGATTGGAAAGACTTGGAAATCTGTCCACTTTGGGCCAGGAAATTTTCTCTAGGTACACTCATCCCTCACCATTTCTACTTTGCAGCATGTTCTCCTTGTTTCTTTCCTTCTATTTGCATTCATCTGATGAAGTGCGTTTGTTTGTAGGGGTGTGTGAGTGTGTGCTTGCTATGGCCATTCTATGTCGGATGCTTTCTCTTTGCGCTAGAAAAACTACTCCATCCACTCTC